TCCTTTATATTGATTTGCCAACGCATTCTTTTTTAACTTATTTAGCTCAGCCAATACTTATCATGGAGTACCTGTGGAGAGGTGACTTGCTGGGTTACCTCAGAAAATCCAGGGGGGTATTCGACCACTATCATCGTGGGGTCGGAAGGGTCGACCACTTGACAACATATGACATGGTGCTGTTCGCTAAACAGATCGCAAATGGTATGACATTTCTCGCGTCTAGAGGGGTAAGTGCTCAAACTCCTCTTGATTTGAATTACGCAAATCGATCACCACACGACTAAAATGATCAGGCATATTGGAATCACTAGGTCACACGAAAACAGTCGGAAACATACCTCTTTATTCCTTTTTCCTCTTTGATGGGAAATGCTTTTTCTTTATTTATTTCGTTACCGGTCCATCGGATCCTTCTTTCAATTTCAGATAATTCATCGCGATCTTGCAGCTCGCAACATCCTTCTCGATGAGCATCGTGTATGCAAGTTGACTGATTTTGGGCTCTCTTATCAGGATTTCAAATACGGCACAGGAAATGCCAAGAAGGTAGTTTTCAGAATTTTTTCATCACTTTTTTAGGGGATTTTTATTTGAGTGTCATCAAATACATCATATACCATTTTGTGAGGTTAGCTTCCTTAACGTATAAACCTGAGGTATAGACGAGATATTTGTTTTGGGACTGTTGGTATGAAAGATTCAAATGTGAAAAAACTAAAAGAAAAATGAGCGTCTGCCAGTTAATTCCGTCACTAGGCTTCTATTTTGTGACTCAAACCATAACGTGAACTATCCTGACGAACCTTATTTTCTTTTATACCGTTTTACCGCCAAATCCCTGTCCCTTATCAGAATGCCATTCTGATCGTTTCGAACCTTTCACACACACACAAAAAAATGTATACTGTACCAAAGGAGTAAACGCAGGGAATAAGAAAATCGTATTTGACAAATAATAATAATAACAATAATAATAATAATAATAGTAATAACTACAACAAATAATAATAATAAACATAATAATAATTACAACACTGTGTGGGGGACTTTACCAGACTGCTAAGTAGTTTACAATCAGATAAAGGCGAACCTGAAAGATGCCCCATCCCCCTAATTCCCACTAAGCAGGCCAGACCACATCACAGTAATCTCGTAATTGGGTTCTTTAACGTCCTCCGCCTAATCAAATTAACTAATGAACAGATGGAGGAGGCGGGACCAACAGTTTATTCGTCATTATCCGAGAAGACTAGGATGTCTATCCATTTCTTGATGTTATAGAAAGGTAGTACATTCTCCTTAGTTATTTTTAAGGCCACGAGTGTTGGTCCGGCCGGGGCTTGAACCCTCGACCTACAGCACAATAGTCCGGCACTCAACCAATTGAGCTAACCGGGAGACGGTTCTTTCAAATGCAGGTTCTCACAAATGTTGTTTTAAGTCAAGAATACCAATTCACACATGTAGAAGGGTAGAGTAAAACAGGAGATGTAAAGAAAAAGGACCACGTGATTTGTATCTAAAGAAATGTGTAGAAACGCGTGTGTTGCTCTTAAATTTATCGCGACTCCTTACATCTTTGGTGAAAAAAGAGTATAAATCTTTATGGTATATATTTCAGATATTGCTTTCCAGTGTCTTTAAATGACATATGTTTATACTATTCTAAATACTCACCCAGGGATGTATCCCAATCAAATGGAGTGCACCCGAGATTCTTTACGGCCATGTGGAACGGCTGTCAACCAAAAGTGATGTGTACGTACTGCACTCGTCATTATATGCATTATCAACCTGTTTACGATGCTTGCTTGACGAATTCAAAGGTTTAGAATAATTGGTGCTTTATTGATCAGGGTCTAGTTGTTCAAAGGCCGATTAGCACTAACCCAGGGTTAAATTTTAATCCAGGTTTCTAAATTTCTCTGATCAAAAGGCGTTTTGGGCTAATTTTCGTAAATCTATCTAGGACATTGTTAG